CGACAGTGGCGGCCATCGCCGCTCGCGGCAGAGGGCGGCGCAGATCTGCGGCGGCGCCGGACCCCCGCCGCCCAGGTCGACGCGCGAGCGCCGCGCGGGGGCGCGGCACCCCCCCCGCCAGGCGAGGAGGGGAGGTCGCGCTCTGCAGCGCCGCCGCCGGGGCCCTGCCCGAGGCACCGTCGAAGCCGCCCAGGTTGAGCATCGCTTCACCAATCCCTGTCCCCCGCGGGCGTGGCCCGGGCACCACGGGGCGATTTGCCTCCCCTGCAGGGGATGTGGGCCGTTCCCTTCGAGCTTCGAGGCGCATGTCCCCAGCTGGGGCGGTGGGCTGGTGGGGGTGGGGATGGGGATGGGGATGGGGATCGGTTAAACGATACTGACAGGTAGAGGGCCGCGAGCTGGGCGACGAGAACGACGCCGCACTCCGCCGCATTCGAGGCGCCCCTGCTCGCCCAGCGGCGCCACTCCCCGACCGCCCTGGCAAACGCCCAGTGGTTGGCTGCCGTCGTGTCGTGGACCGCCGCCGCCTCGAGCGCCGACAGATCTCCGCTCCTGGCAGACGCCCGGCGGTTGGCTGCCGTCGCGTCGTGGACCGCCGCCGCCTCGAGCAACCCGACGGGTCTCCGCTCGTGCGCAGGCCGGGGGCAGGGTTGGCCCCCCGCCCCCGCTGGCTCGGCCGACGCCGCGGCGCGCTGCCTCTCGAAGCTCGGGCGGAGCCCGCTCGGTGGACCGAGCGCGGCGGGCCGGCGAAGAAGCCCGACCTCGACGGCGAGTCGGGCGCACTGCGCTCGCCAGGGGTCCCCATGCACGTCGCGGCGGGTCCCAATGGCCGTCGACGGCGCGCGCAGCCGTCGCAGTGGCTGCAGGAGTCCGCGAGCGCCTGCGCAGCCCTTGCCCGCGGCAGATGCCAAAGCCAAATTGTCCGCGGCGAAGAGGGCGCGACGGTGGCGACGTCGACCAGACCGAGAGGCCCGTCGCATCGCAAAGCCCACACGCGAGACGCAAATTTGCGTCGCTTGCCTTCTCGACGAAGAATCGACCAATACAGAAAGACGCCTGGCGTTCGGCGATCTCCCGCTCCAGCATGCCAGCCTGATGCGAGCGTGGCAGAAAGTCGGCATGCTGACCAGACCGAAACCGAAGACGAGGACCAACGTGGGCCTGACCAACCCCCGACCACTTCCTCAACGTAGCCGACCCGGCGGGATCATAACATATGGTGCATCCACCCTAGCAACGTCTGACGGTCAGCTTCAACATTCAGCTCCGCTGTCGGGACGTGAACCGTGCGCTCAGGCCAGGAGGTCGTACCCTTGTCATAGGCAGGGGCACCCAGGGACCGCCAGGGTACCCTGGCGCCGACGCGAGCAACCCCTCCACGGCTGCCTCGCATCCCTGTGAGATTCAGAACAGGGCTGAACCTAAACGGTGTTTTTCGTTTTCGTTTTGTTTTCGTTTTCCCTCGCCTCCGTCTCGAATCCGCCTGTACCGCAAAACGAAGTCGAAACGAAAACGGCCCACGACATCACCCCAAACACCGTTTAGGTCCAGCCCTGATTCAGAATATCCCGGAGGGGCGGCATAACCGCCACACGGTTGAGCCAGCAACTCCTCAGCGTCACGGCTCGCAAGTGGAGGAAGGCCATGGGGCGCGGCGCGACCCTCGCGCTCGCCCTGCACGGCGAGCTCCGCGAAGCCGTCGCCCACGGGAGGCCGCCGCAGGCGCAGGCAGGGCCAGCGTCCGGCGCGCGGCAGCCGCGCCGACGAGCAGACCGCTCACGACTACAGTCGGGCTTGGTTGGAGAGGACACGCGAGAGGACACAAGACCCTTCCGAGGGCCACATTGCCATAGGAATGCGAGAAGACGTGGGTCGCGAGACACAGGACGCAAGGGTACCCTTGCTCTGGCAGGGTCGACCCCCACCAATCCATGGCCGACTGCATGAGGGCCGCCCAGGCCGCCAGGCCCTCCACCGTCGGGCAGGGGTCAGACAATTCGGGGACCTGCTGACCCGGGTCAATCCAGACCCGGGTCAGTCATGCCTTGCAGAGTCCTGCAAGATCCTGCAAAATCCTGCACCCAAACCCGGGTCAATGCGAAGGATCCTGCAGGATCCTGCAGGATCCTGCACCCAAACCCGGGTCAATGCGACCCTGGCCCTGCAGGATCCTGCAAGGTCGGGGCGCTCTGGCTGACCCCCGTTTGCACTGACCCCCGTCTCGAGGCTCCCGAACAGTGGGAGTGGCGCTCCGGCCAGCCCGTCCCCGACGGGCAGTGGCACGCCAGCGGAGGGCACGACAGCTGCGGGCACGCGAGCGACGGCGTGCACACACAGTCAGGGCAGGGCTCCGGAGCCGCCTCGACGACTGCCACCACGCCGAGACCGTGCGCGCAGGCCTCGGAGGCGGGCGGCTCCCGGCGCAGCCTGCGCTGCCGCCGAGCCCGAAATGGACCTTGAGAATGGGAGTGCGGCCCGACGGGAGCTACAACAAAGCAGCAGGGCAGCGCATTGATGATGACGACGAGGGCGAGGAGAAGAGAAGAACGAGGGAGGAAGGAATGAGGAGAGAAGAGGGGGAGAAGGGGGTTGAGAGGCGGATGATAGGGGAGAAGAGGAGGGTGAGGGAGGAGGGAAGAGGTGGAAGAGCAGCAGGAACAGGGGACAGCGGAAAAGGAGGATAAGCAGGAGGATGAGAAGGAACTGGGTGAGGGAGAAGAGGAAGAAGAGGAGGACGAGGAGGAAAGGGAGGAGGAGGAGGAAGAGGAAGACGAGGACGCACTGGGCAAACAACCCGTCATGATTTGCTCGTGACGCCCAGCCGGGACGTCCATCTCTTCGGTCCTCCTCCCCCTCTGACTGCTGCTGATGCTCCTGCTACTTCTGCTACCCTACAGCCGAAGTATTGCCGCATGGATCTTCGGGTAAGGAACGTTTTTTCCTTTACTCCCTAGAAGCGCCTAGCTGCACGAAGAGAGCCAAAAGAAGACCCGCGAACGGACCGAAGGAACATCTAGTCCCTTCCGAAGCCAACGTGGACCGACCATCAAATTCTAGCTGTAGCTGGACTTCTGCTTGGGATGTCGCTCCCTCTCTGAGCTGGAGGGCCGCACCCATCTGCCACATGCCCGGGGACTGCCATTCCTCCTCCTCCTCCTCCTCCTACTCCATTCCTTTTCCTTTTAAATAACTTCTCCTTGTCACACCCTGAGGCCAACTTTTAGGGCGGGCCGGGCGTTTCGCCTGAGACTTCCTCATCTGAGACTTCATCATCAGATATGACCCTGAAACTAAAACTTGGCAATACTTTCACGGATTGAGGGCGGGCGGTTTTCAACTTGTGGCTCTCGCGTTAGCGCCGCGCACATTCATCCTAAACATTTGCAAGAGTTTCACGGATTGAGGGCAGGCCATTTTCAACATGTGGCTTTCGCCTTAGCGCCGTGCACATTCGTTTTTACAATATTTGCAAGAGTTCCGCGGATTGAAAGCGGCTCCTTTTCAAAGTGTGGCTCTCTCCTCAGCGCCGCGCACATTTGTTTTAAACATGCGCAAGAATTTCACGGATTGAAAGCGGCTCCTTTTCAACATGTGGCTCTCGTCTCAGCGCCGCGCACGTTCGTTTTTGAAGATTTACAAGAGTTTCACATAATCCCATGGTCAACGTACCAGACATGGTGTTTTGGAAGGATTCAGGATTATGAGGGTGCAACAACTACGTTGGTTCGCGGCGTTGAAGTCCCAGGAATGGCGTTCTGGCACGATTCAGGATCGTCAAGACGCAAAAGCCAGGTTGATCCGTGGCGTTGGAATCCCGAGAACAATGCTTTGGTATGCTTCAGGGTATTCAGACGGTTGTTTTACAACGAGGCGGTTCCCTCAGTGGAAGTGAACCGTTGTAGGGGCCTGTGAAGAGAGAGCTTGGAGAGGTGGGTTTCTTCCAACATCGTTGCTGACTCTTGGTTTTGCACTGGTCCTCCTCCTTCTCCTCGTCGTCGTTATCCTTTTCATCCTCCTCCTCCTCCCCTTCTCCTCCTCCTCCTCCTCCTCCTCCTCCTCCACCTTATCCTCGTCGTCGTTATCGTTCTCCTCCTCCGTCCCTCCTCCCCCTCCCCCTCTTCTCCTTCCTCCTCCTCCTCCTTCTCCTTCTCCTCCTCCTCCTCCTCCGTCTCGTGCCTCCCCTCATGCTCCAGCTGGTGGTGCTGCTGCTCTTCGTCCCCCGCCCCCGTAACGTCCCTTCCCCTCCCTCTCCTCTGCTTTTTCTCCCTCTCTGCGGACAAGATGTATATCCACATCCACTGCGTCTTGGACTGCCCAGGAAGTGGCGCCACAAGACCGAGGTGCAGTATTTTCTAGCCTGCAGCGGCCAGGTCTTTGTCCGTATCCACTGCGCCTTTGGTTTCTAGAAAAAGGGCGCCCGAAAGTCCAAGGCGCAGTGGGTATGGATATACATCTTGCCCGCACTCTCCTCCTCCCAGCAAGACGCCACGATGCCAACATACGGAACATGAACCCCCGCCGACTGCACGAGGACGAGCGAAGGATCTTGGGCCCAGCTTCAGGACGCGCGCGCGCGGTGCTAGGTCGGTACCGGCGCGGAGAGTGCGAACGCACAGCGTGGGCTTTTGTTGACGCAGCTGCTTCCATCAGAAGACACATGATGCCTCGTCTTCTGTACGACCTATAAGGATCGTCCAGCCTGAGCAGACAGGGCCAGAAACTCTTGCCAAGGGCATTTGGCCACAGTGCATTTGATTAGGTGGTCCGACTGTAGGTCCCAAATGAGCAACAATCAAGCTGACATGCTCGACCTCTTCTACCATGTGCAATGCCGTCCACAGGCCACAGTCGATTGGCAATCGAAAGTGCACGAAGGAGGCTTCAATCTCAAGGCCGCATGGGCAATAACCCAAGTCGGGCCATTGCCTCCACCTCGCGGTGGATTCGAATCCAGACGAACCACTGCAATCGCTAACCAGCACCTACCACACGGCATGGCCTCATGGGTCGCCAGGGAGGGGTTCTTCTTTTAGCAAGTGGCCATACTTCTGGATGTACTCTGGGTCCTTGCAATATGTCTCCTTGCAGTACATGACCTCACTTAAGGGGGCCTCCCAAGAGCATGTCAGCTAAACTCATCACCTATGCCCCCTCCTCTTTCCACTGCTTGCAGCATGCCAGGCTGGTTTGCACAAGCGGGCCATCGTTTGTAACTGAGCTGACAAAAAGCAACAGAAGGATGTCCTTGTGGTGCACTCAACGGGTTATCCATAAGAACAGGAGGACGAAGACAGATTCTGATCGGGCTTTCCTTGGAAAACCGATGCGTCCTGGCGGAAGCCTGGCAGCCTCAAACAAGATGCGATATGGTAGTGATGGGAAGGACGACAAAGCAAATGCGGATGAATGCGAGGAAGGAGGGGGCCCTCATTGCACCGTGTTGAAGGAGTGAGTCCGCACGGGGTGCGTAAGGGCCTCCAGGCGGCACGGTCAGCCACACGTCACCTCAACACCTGTCCACTCCCCTCCTCTTCTTTCTCTCCCCTGTCTTCTCTCCCTATGTTGTCCCATCTCCCTCTCTCTTCTTATGTTACACCCATCGCACTTAGGGCCCACAGCCCAGAAATCATTTCGAGCACCCAGAAAAGTGTCGAAACAATGTCGAAACAGTGCCGAACGAGTCTCCGAGGGCCCGGCACGTGAAAACCCTCGAGTTTCGGTACTTTCTCGGTGCTCGATATTCTTTCTGGTGATTCAGGCTAAAGTAGGTTGGAACATCATAACTCTCTTCCCCTCCCAGGTCTCCTAACTTCGCGCGTCGCGGCCCGCGATGCGCGCCGCGCGGTACCCTGGCGCCCTCGTGCAGCCCCCCACTGGGGAAATGACGGAGCAACTGCCTTTCCACGGAAAGGGCAGCTGCTCTGGCCTTGACCGCGACGCGCGCAGCTCGGTTATCGTCATGCCCCTAGGGGTGCCCTATTCTTAAGTCAGGCATGCCCCCCTACAGGTCGATTTTGGACGGAAAATAAAACAATTGCCACAACATGTCCCCACATGATATAACATAGAGGACAAATCGTTTCCATATTATTTTTTGACTATGATTGAATTTTGCTCCTGTAGAGGGACACGCCCGGCTGAACCCTAGTCCTCTCATCCAATCCCCTCTAGCCTACGTGAGCGGTCATGTGCGCGGAGCAAACCTGTTCTGGGAACATGCAATCACAACATGCTGGGGCACGGGCGCGTAATCATCGCGCATAAGCTGAGACAAACTATGGCCATGCTTCGCCACAGGGAGGAAGTAGACAAAGAGGAAGGGAACATGAACAGGAAGGAGGAGAAGGACGAGGAGGAGGAACTATGACTCTCTCTCTCGAGGAGGAGGAGGACGAGGAGGAGGAGGACTAGGAGGAGGACGAGGAGGAGGGGCAGGAGGGGACGAATGAGGTATCATAGAGAAACCATGACTCTCGCGGTCTGTGGCGACGGCGAGAGCTAAGCCCAGTGACATTGCAGTGGTAGTTGCCCATGGCGCAGAACATCTTCGCCAAGGACTGCGTGGGAATCCTGCGAGCTCCAGCATCATCCATGTCCGCTGCCTCTTCCTCCCTCACGGGCACACCGATGAGGATCAGCAAGGAATCTGTCGACAAGATACGTGAGGCGGATTCCTGGGGTGGTCCCTGGTGAAGCTTCTTCTAACTCCAAGCGCTCCCCCATTTTGCCTGCGGCCACCTGGGGCTCTCCACGCTTGCTGGACCGAGGTGAATCGACCCAGGACCTAACCGACACGAGCAGAGACCCCTTCCCTTGGATACCCTCCTCGCGAGGGGGGGGAGGGGGCAAAAGGGTATCCCGTGTATGTGTGTGTGTGTGTGTGTGGAATCCCCGCCGGCTGCTCATCGTCGAATTCTTCGGCCTCTGAGCGTCCCTCCTTCCTCTCGTCGGCCTCCCCTCTCCCTCCTCGCACGCCGGCCAATTCGCTAGTGAGTGCCCCTACCTGGCTGCTGCGCTGGTGCGGATTGCTCCGCCCCGCCGCTTGCGGAAGAAGAGTGTGCGTGTGGAGTCTGCGGAGATTCCCCCGAGGGCCCGGCCGCGCGCGCACCGGATCCGACCTCTCTCCGCCTCGACGCTGCGCGCGAGGCCGCGATCGCCAAACGTGTGTGTGTGTGTTGTGATGTGTGTGTGTTGTGATGTGTGTTGTGATGTGTTGTGTGTGCGTGCGTGCGTGCGTGCGTGCGTGCGTGCGTGTGTGTGTGTGTGATGTGTGTGTGTGTGTTGTGTGTGTGTGTGTGTGTGTGATGTGTGTGTGTGTGTGTGTGTGCGTGGGGGGGGGGGGCGAGGGGGTCCCATGGGGGTCCTGGGGGGGGGCGCAGGCCCCAGGGGGAGGCCCCCCCCCCCCGACCCGCTCCCCCGCCCTCCCTGGACTCGGGGGGGGCCCTGGGGCTTGGCCTGGCCCTCCCTGGGCCGCCTGGGCCCGCGGGCTCAAGATGAGGGGGGCGCTGGGACACACACTAAAAAGACACGACCAAGTGTTGTGAATGTTTTCTGGATTTGTGTCTTCCCCCCACTTCCCATGTTTTCCTATGTTTCCTGTGGGTCGACGATTAATCGTGTCTGTGTTGTTTCCCCTCCTGACCAGAGGCCGAACTCGGCTGAACGCCTTTAACCTTCCTCAGATAATCAACACTCTCGCCGCAGCGTTCGAAATAGCAACATTAAGACGGCACAAGAAACTCCCCCAAACCGGCCCAGGATGGCCCACGAGGCTCCGAATAGGAGCCCAACAAATTCTCAAGACGGCCTCAAGCGGGGTTCAACAACACCATTGCCGCCGCGCCGCGGAAGCCCGCCCCTCCAAGATGACCCCGAGGCCCCCAAGAGGCCTCGAAGGGGGGACCCGAGAGGCCCTCAAAGGGGCCCCAAGACGCATGCGAATGGTCCACGCAGGCCGCCAGGATCCCCCCAAGCAGCCTCCCAAGATCCCCCCAAATGTCCCCCGGGCCTTTGAAGCACGACCCAGGCGCAGTGGTGAGGTGGGTCGAAAACCACTGCGGTCAGAAACTGTTGCTTCGCGTGTCGCGGTGGTGGCCCCCGCGACACGCCATGCATTGCGAGCGGGTAGTGCGTCGCTCCGCTCTGCGGGGCGGGAACCTGGGAGAAACTCGGGACTTTGAGGCTTTGAGGCTCGTATCGCGCCGAAGCACGGTGGGCCAGATCAGGCGGCGCGGCACAATAAACAACATATTCCGGCCCTACACCTTCGCCCTCGCACTGCAACCGTCACTGCCCTTTGCCTTCGCTCCCCCTTCGCCTCTTGCGCCTGAATTGCGCACCTCTGTTTCTCGGAGGCACTGGCCGTAAGGAACTGTTGCTATACGTCAGTGGACATGAGAGACCTCCTCCTCCTCCTCCTCCTCCTCCTCCTCCTCCTCCTCCTCCTCCTCCTCCCACTCTCCCCCTCCTCTTCCTCGATGCTCGATGGCATGGGTCGGCTCGTCATGATGACCAAGACCTTCGCCTCATTTTCTCACCATATGTACGCCTGCCAGACGCATTCACACACGCAGGCAAGAGGCGACATACATGTTCCTGTCAGACTCATGTGGCACTTGCTTAAAACAACACATGGCTCCTCGCCTCCTCCTCCTCGTGCCCCTTTCCTCCTCCTCGTCCTCCTCCTTCTCCTCCTCCTCTTCCTCCTCCTCCTCCTCCTCTTCCTCCTTCTGCGACACAACGGTCCGTGAATGAAACCCATCCGTGTTGTTCATCTTGCCAGACAACCGCCACCATCTCTGCATGCCCCAGTGCTGGACTCCGAAGGATGCCCACTTGCTGTGGCCATACCTGCATAACAGGGTGCCAAATAACGAAAACGAGGCGGAATGATTAGGAGGAGGCGGAATAGAGGAGAGGGACGAAGTAGGAGGGGTGAAAACAGGGGGGGGGTGGAAGGACGATCTGATGACGAAGGTGGAAGCGACCATTGCCTGCACCTCCCACCTCCTGTGCACATGCTGAAGAAAACGCCCACGAACCGCCGAACCCCTCTCAACTGATAGTGGGCACCTGCACTCTGGCGGGGCCCCCCTTCCCTGTCTCTTCAAACCTGTCCGACCACGGTCACCTAGACCGACCGTGAGGATGCACCGCGAAGCTCGAAAAATCCAAGGTTCGCTAAGGACTGGCTATTGTTCAAAACAGCCGAAACTCTCCCAAAACCCTCCGGGAAGGGTTCCCGGAGGGTTTTCTGAGGGTTTCGGAGAAGGTTTTTTTCGTCGTTCTGGGAGGAGGCCAATCCCTAGCGAACCCTGGGCCCTCTTAGCGTAGAGGGCACAAGACCATCGGAGGCCCGAGCGGGGAAACGACCCGCAGCGGCGTCAGGCGCAGCAGGATGGGACACGGGCGGGCCGGCGAACTCGCCCTCACCTCCCTTTGAGGGGGAAGAACGATCAAAGCCGCTCGACGCGAAAAGTTCTGATGCCCCAGCGCCTTACTTTGCCTTGGAACATAAGAACTGAGTTGGCTGCTGATGTTCCCTCGTTCCCCACCTCCCTTTCCGCCGCAGCCAAACTTGGCGCAGCAGCGCTTTCGGTCCCAGCTCCAGCTGCGGCGACGCAAGGGGCAGGGCGATGACGAGACAAGACAATATCCGATGAAGTCCTCTCAGGTCAAGACAGCATGTGAAGCCAGAGTTCTGGGTAGGCGGCTACACCGCCGACTGTATGAAAATACGCAGTGCAGAGACAGTCGCGCTCCGCTCAGGGCAGCACTGGCCCTGGCTGGGGGCCCCTCTGGGGCACGCAGCCACAGATCGGGGTCCCAGCTCTTCAGGCGCCAGGTCCACCTCGCCTTCCCCGACCCGACCCCCTCCCCCGAGTCCCGCCCCGACCTCGTCCTCTATCTGAATGCGTCTGCCGCGGCAGCAGCGTGACTGGTATGGACTGCAATTCCGTTGAATCATATCCTGAAGCCACCTCGGTGCTGGTCGCGCCACTAATCGCACACTGCGAAATCACCCCCCTCTCAAGCAAACTGACCAAGCGTGCGCTCTGCACCAGAGCCTGCGGCAACTGCGTGGCACAAGAACGACTCGCAACGGCAGCGCTGCAACTTCTCTGTGCCCTCTACGCGCCGTCCAACAGGCGCGAGACCTCTCTCCAGCGGCCCCTTCGGCTGCGGTCCGCCCACGTACTGGCCGCCCTCCTATTCGATGACCACCATCAAAGTCTCGTACAGACGGGCTCCCGCCTTATTGGAACGGTCGATGTTCAGGTACAGTCGCCATCGCATCCGAGCCCTTTTTTCTTCTGGATTTTCACGCGGCAGTGCTTCGCGATCCGACTGAGGTTCTGTAAGGGGCACTTGCTCACGAACGTGTTCAGGCTCTCCAGGATCTCCTCCGCTATGCCTCGACCGCGTTTTCCTCGAGCGCGCCCCCTCCTTCGCCGCGCAGTGCACCGCCGGCGCCATGAAGACGTGGAGGTGTGGGGCGCCGCGGCCCCGATAGTCTGGGGCCCCGCGCGACTCCGCCTCCTTCTTCATCTCCTTGCTGCGCTCGTCGTGCAGCTGGCCCGCTCGCGCCATCGCCTCGTTCGCGCCAGCGCTGGCAGGAGCGAGCCACTTGCTGAAGATGCAGGCGCCGAGGTCCGCCGCCTCCCGAGCCGTGGTCAGCAGTAGCTTGGCGCAGGCCTCCTGCAGGCCCTCGTGCCCCGTGCGGCCGTTCTCGGGCTTCCCGCCGCCGCCCTTGCCGCCTCTGTCGGCCCCCTCCTTCTCCTTGCCCCCGTTCTCGGCCTGGCGTTTCGCTGCCTGGCTGCGCCGGTCGGTGAGCTGCGCCGCTGCGCCGTCTCCTGGCATTGCGACCTTCTTCCTTTTTGAACTCTGCTCACTGAAAGCCGCCAGGGGAAACGCGACTTCAGGTGGTTGCGCAGATCGGGGAAGTCTCGCGCCGAACAATCGCAACCAGGGCAGTCAAGGCGACTGGGGGGCCTCTCAGGGACTATGGCCGAACAACCCATTATAAAACAATGCTTCCGCTTGAAAGATCACTGCAGATGTCTGCGCGCTGTCTCGCGAGTGGAAAAACTTGGTCAAGGCGCGCGCGCGCGCATTCGCTCCAGTTAAGGCCGAAGCGAGGTTTCGAACGTGATGGGCGAAACGTAATGATTGAGGTGACACGGGGAGCCCCCTCAGAACTCACCCAGCACCTAAATTCCCTCTCCTCGCCGGCCTGGGAAGGAGGAAGAGGAGGAAGGGAGGGCGGGGGGGGGGGGGGAGGGGCGCAGCCGCAGCAGCAGACGTCAAAAGAGAAGGCGAAGGAGAGGGAGGGGCCCCAGACCAGGAGGTGGGATGCACGTCGCATACTGTTGCAGACGAATTTCTTGGAAATCGACTCGGGCGAAATTCTCGCGAGCCTCGCTGCCCCGAAAAAGCTCGAGATCTGACGCCAAAGCCCCGGGGATGCTGTAGTCCAAGCGTTCAGCCACAAAAGTGAAGCCCCGCACTACTTGCAACGCAAGAAAGGAAGCGTGTTCCGTGGGGCGACCATTGAGGACCCGCGGAAACCTAGCACAGGAAGGTGCACCACCGAATAACACACGCATGACCTGTATGTGTCGCTGGGGCTCTGCTGCCCAACTCCTATGCATATGTGGGCGCCTCGATCGAAGTTCAAGCCAACTCTCTCCAGCGCGCCAATGGCGGAGCAGCTGGCGCGTCTTCGATTGTTTTGGATGCGCTCCGCCCCAGTCGGTGGCTTCGCCAAGCATGGCCACCCTGCAACGTCCTGCTAAAACTTTGTCTGGCCTGCCACAGTCCGCCCCTGTCGGTGCGGATCCCCCCAGACCTAGGTGCCTGAATTTATCTTTTGGGCCCCCCTCAAGTCCGCGGTCACCCTGCCTCCGAAGTTGTTTGTTGTTGTTGTTTTTTGTTGTTCCCCCCCTTCTTTTATTATTATATATATATAACCCGATACTGGCAGAAGTAGAAGAGAAATCCTTGTTTCCCGAGGTTCTGGGCGAATCCAGCAGTGGCGAGCGATTCGTCCAGTCTCTCATCTACTCTGCGCAGCACTTGCATAGACTCACTCAAAGTCGCCTCAGGTGCGGCTAGTACAGTTCCACAGATATCACCAACGATTTTACAAACTACCCTCAGCGCTCCAGGGGGCCCCGCGTGGCAGTCAAAGCCCCGGCCTGGGGGTCGAAATCACTCAAGGCACGGTTCCAGGCCATCACTGGCCATCTAAAACAACCGAAAAAACAACGCGCAATAAATGGGTCTCCCATGGCTCCCCCTTGGGTAGTTTTTTCAAGCGATACTGCGGTCCTCGCCGTGCAGTGTGACAACACTGTGCTGAAATCTCTGCATGCACAATGAAGTTTCCTCCGCCGCCGCCCCCCTTTCGACCGCCGGCTCCATGTCCTGCCATCGCGTCGAGGCGACGGCGTTCGCCATGTCTTCAAAGCAAACGCAGCGTGTTTTACCGCTCTGGCGAAGGCGCCAGGTCCAACTCACAACTAAAATAGCCTCCCCCCTCCTGCGGTTACGGTCACTTGTAGACGGGTGGCGAAGAACGCTTTTCCTATCGTGGGTAAAACATGTATAGCTCCGTGACCTTTCGGCCCTGGGGTGTTATTATTTAAAAGTCCCGCTCCGCGAGACCACTGCCAGCACAGTGGGACACGCTCGTGCGCTCGCATCTTGGCTAGGCCGAAGTGCCGCTAGGCCGAGGTGCCGCAGAAAGTAAACGGCCTCGAGCGGAGGAATCGCCTAAAGTCCCAGCCCACGCTTCTGGCTCAAACGCCAGTTGGGCATCAACAGCATCAGCCACACCTCGCACGGCAGCGCGCCAGGAGGCACAGCCTTGCGCTTGGGCGCGCGGCAAAGGTACTTCTTGAGACGCTTTAGATCATCCGTGACCGACTCATTGATACTCTCATCCGCCACGTCCTCATGGCGGAAGCCCTCGCGCTGCTGCCACCAGGCGTCCCACTCAATCTCGTGCGCTTGCATGCCGCCGAGATGGCCCTCCTTCTGCCAGGTGTCAAGCCATTCCGCCGCCGTTGGCGGCGCAAGTGCGAACAAGCGGCCGTCTGCTTCTTGGGCCCGTGCCTGCAGAAGGCCGCCACCCGACAGGCCCTCATGGCCTCAGCCTGACGATTGCGATGCCACGCCTCATCCGCCTCCTCCATCAAAGCAGCTCGTTGTTGTCGGTTGTGCTGACGTCGATTGATGGCTAGCGAGTCGGGCGACCTCCTCCTCCGACACTGCTTGTGTCCCGCCGTCATCATCCGCCTCAAGTTTGTTACCTCGCAAGCGAACTCGCTCTCGGAGTAGTCGTCGTCTTTTCTGCACAGAAGGAGGCCCACCGTTCGGACCAGCGAAGCTCAGACCAACCTGCCCGGACCAAGCAGACCAGTCAGATCAGCCAGCCCAACTAGTCAGGTAGACCAACCAGACCAGGCACACCAGCTAGCCATTCAGACCAGCAAAACCCAGACCAGACTAAGCAGATTAACCTGGCCGGACCAAGCAGACCAACCTGGCTGGACGAACCAGGCCGGACCTGGCCAGTCAGACCAGCCAGTCAGATCGGCCAGGCAGACCGACCAGACCAGCTTAAGTCTTAAGCTGGAGCTTAAGTCCCAAGATTTAAACTTGCTCTATTGAAGCTTGGCGTCCTGCCGTGCGCTGGTCTGGTTGGTCTGGCTGGTCTGGTTGGTCTGTGTCGTGGAGGGGGCATGGGAAGAACGCCTGTGAACGGACCACCGAACAAACAGACCAGTGAAGCAGCGGCGCCAGCCAGCCCAGCCAGACCAACCAACAGACCACGCCGACCAGACCAGCTAGACCAACCAGACCAACCATACCATCCAGACTAGCCAGACCAGCCAGACCAGGCAACAAACCAGACAACCAGACCAGCCAGACCAAGCAACCAAACAGACCAACCAGACCAGCCAGACCAGACCAATGAACGAGACCATACCGACTTCCTCTTCTTCCTCTTCCTCCAGACCAATGAACGAGACCAGACCAATCATACCATACCTAAGCTGAGGCTGCAAGACGAAGCTCAAACCAGACCAACCAGACCAGTAAGACCAGATGCAAAACACACTGCAATACAAAACAAAATGCAAAGCAAAAACATGCAATGCACAAAACATGCATTTCGATCGTCGTCGTGGTGGTTGGCGCTGCCTCGCATGACCTCCCCTAAACCACTCTCGCTCGGATTCTCGGATCCTAAGCTAGGGCTGCTAGACGAAGCTCGAACCAGACCAAACAGACCAGCCAGACCAGATGCACAAAACAACTGCAGTGCAAGACAAACTGCAAAGCAAAAGAAACTGCAATGGAACAACAAACTGCATTTCGATCGTCGTCGTGGTGGTTGGCGCTGCCTCGCATGACCTCCCCTAAACCACTCTCGCTCGGATCCTAAGCTAAGGCTGCAAGGCGAAGCTCAAACCAGACCAAACAGACCAGCCAGACCAGATGCAACAAAATCTGCAATGCAAAAAAAAACGGCAAAGAAACAAATGTACAATACAGGCATTTCGATCGTCGTGGTGGTTGGCGCTGCCTCGCTGGACCTCCCCTAAACCACTCTCGCCGGGATCCTAAGGTAAGGCTGCAAGACGAAGCTCAAGCCATACCAACCAGACCAGCCAGACCAGAGCCAGACTTGCTCTTTGTAAGCTTGACGTCCGGTCGTGCGCTACGCGTGCGAGAGGGAGGAAGAAGGCAGACAGGGCGGCCGCGAAGGACGGGAGGAGGCGGTGGGCACTCAGGCGCGGAAGAATCCCGAGCTGGGTGTGCCGTCGCGGCCAGCAGCGGCAGCGGGGGCCGTGGCAGCACGACGTGCACAAGAGCTTGCGGAGATCCGCGCGAATCTCTCGGGGTCGACGCCGGGCTGCGGCGCCCAGAGGCGCCGCGGGCCTTCGATGATGTCCCAACCCTCCCGTGTGTCGGGTTCTTGTTTTGAGAAGAGCGCTAGGGTCTCTAAGGATCGCTCCGGCGCTTCCCCCTCCTCCTGCTCCTGCTCCTCCTCCTTTTTCCTCCTGCCTCATTGCCTCCCTTGCTCGTACCTTTCGTTCTGGGGGGCTGCGCAACTGCGCCACTGTCGCCACTTTCGTGGGCTCCTGGAGGGCACGGCAGAGCGCAGGGCAGCGCAGATCATTTGAGGCCTCGCGGCTCCCTCGGGGGCTGCGAACTGCGCAACCGTCATCGCCACTTTCGTGGGCTCCTGGGGGGCACGGCGGAGTGAAGGGCGCCCACATGGCCACATGGCGCGTGCTCGGATGGCGCTGGGCGCCGTCAGAGCGGCGCTGTGGCACCACAGGGCGCCGAGCGCTGGATGCGTGATTGTGGAGCGTCAATTTCACTACGCCTCGGGCAAGTTTTAACTCTGCTGTTGCTCTGCGACCTTCGCGCTTCATGCTTGTTCCGGACCTTCGCAGGTGCATCACGGCGACGCAGAGCGCTGGATGCGTGATTGTGGAGCGTCAATTTCAATACGTCTCGGGCAGGCTTTGATACTGCTGTTGCCCTGCGACCTTCTCGCTTCGTGCTTATTTCCGGACCTTCGCGGGCGCCTCTCCAGAGGCCTCCTTCATAGGGGTCGGAGCAGATGGGGTCGGAGGATCGCGCGGCATCGCCGTTGCGTCGGCGATGTGTCGGCGATGCACCGGCGAGGCATCGTCGACGTCGGCGTTGTATCGGCGACGTCGACGTGGAGCAACTCGGGCTCCACACCGCGCCGCACCGGCGACGCATCGGCGCTGCGGGTGCGACCCCCCGACCCCCGCTGCTCGGACCCCATCTACAGGAGGCCTGGGGCCTCGGGGACGGCGGGGCAGCGCGAGGCGTGGAGGATGGTGGCCCTCTGGCCAGGTGGCCTCGAGCCGACGTGGCCGAGTCTGGACAACCCCTGGTGCGCCCGCGCTGCGTTTTTTTTTTTTTGTTTTTTTTTTTTTTTTTTTTTTTTTTGTTCTCTCTCTCTCTCTCTCTCTCTCTCTTCGGGTGCGCGGAGGAGGGGGGGCCAGGAAGAGGGGGTTCAGCGCACCTCGGCCCGAGGCATGTGCGCGGACGAGGGGGGGGGGCCAGGGGACGCGCTGAAACAACAATGATGATAATAAAAGAAATCGTAATAATAACACTGATAATATGATTAATACTGATACTAATACTACTAATTATGAAAAATGAATCCCCAATCAGAGCTTGCCTCTGTAGGGGTCCTAGCCGATCCATATGGCTTAGTCAGCTGCGCCGCCGATTTTGGCGACCCGCCCAGGTGCCCGGGTAACCTATAGCCCTACAGCCCTATAGCCCAATAGCCCAATCACCCTCTAGCCCTCTAGCCCTCTGGCCCTCTAGCCCTGTAGCCGTCTAGCCCTGTAGCCCTATAGACCAATAGCCCTATAGACCAATAGCCCTACAGCCTTATAGCCCAATAACCCTATAGCCAAACCGCCCAATAGCCCTGTAGCCCTGTAGCCCTATAGCCCCATAGCTCTATAGCCCCACAGCCCCCAAACAAATCATGATTGGGGTTTCTCTCTGGTATCATATGGTTAGGTTAGCTGCGCCGCCGATTTTGGCGGCCCGCCCGGGTGCCCGGGTGCCTGGGAGCTGCGTTGTCGATTTCGGTGGGCCGCCCGGGTGCCCGGGTGCCCCATAGCCATATAGTGCCATAGCCCTACAGCCCCACAGCCCTGTGGCCCTATAGCCCAATAACCCAATAACCCTACAGCCCTATAACCCTATAGCCCTCTAGCTCTCTAGCCCCATAGCCCTATCACCATAGCTCTATAGCCTAACAGCCCAATAGACCTACAGCCCTCTAGCCCTATAGCCCCATAACCCCATAGCCCTATAGCCCCCCACACCCCAAAAAGATGATGATTGGGGCCTCTCTCCGGTATCAAACTTATAACAATAAGAGTAATACGAACATGGCGCATACTAACACGAACAATACTTATAAACATAAGAATAGGATGAATACGGATCGATAACAATACGAGTATTAATGCTAAGAAGAACATGCTCAGACGGATAATAATAATAGCAGGAATAAGACGAAGACACATCACAATGATGAGACTCCATGACGTCGGTCGGGGAGGTCTCACGGCCCCGGGCATGCTGCCCACACTCTCCCAGTCCTCACCCCGCCGCCTCTTGGACGCCCCCGAGGGAGAAGGGCGGGGATGCGACCTAGGCACCCGGAAAGAGGCAGCGAGGGCAGGCACCGGGAGAGGCCCTGCAGAGGCGAAGGCGAAGGGCCCACGGACTGTCCAGCGGAGGCCCTGCCGCGCTGTGGGGCCCCCTTCCGCGCGGGGCCCCTCCGAGTCCTCGCCCCCCCCCCCCCCCGCTCGACGCCCCCGACGAGGGGGTCGCCGGCGAGGCCCTCGGCCCGCCCCCCCCCCCGCTGGGCCTGCCGCTGGAGGGGGGCCGAGCCTGCCGTTCCGCAGCGCGTCGTCGGTGGCGTGGCCCCCGTCCTCCTCCTCCTCCTCTCCTCTTTCTCCTCCTCCCCTCCCCCTCCTCCTCCTCCTCCCCCTCCCTCCTCCTCCTCCTCCTCCCTCCTCCTCCTCCTCCTCCTCCTCCTCCTCCTCCTCCTCCTCCTCCTCCTCCTCCCCTGACAGGCCACAGAGGCGGGCGGGCAGCGCCTGCCGGGAGGGCGGGTCCCCCAAACTCCGCGGCGGCGGCCGCCGGCGCGGGCATTGGCTCCCGACCTCGAGAAAAGGGGCGCAGCGCCTCGTGGGGGCCGAGCCTGCGCGGTCGGCGGCTCCGACTTCGCGGCGAGCGCTCTCGCCATCTAATCCTCCTCCCCTTCCCCCCTCCTCCCCCTCCTGCCCCTCCTCCCCTCCTCCCCCCTCCTCCTCCTCCTCCTCCTCCTCCTCCTCCTCCTCCTCCTCCTCCACCTCCTCCGCCTCCGCCTCCGCCTCCGCCTCCTCCTCCTCCTCCTCCTCCTCCTCTTCCTCCTAGTTTGGAGTCCCGAAACGGTGCGGTGACAGAACGTGCGGTGACCTCGAAATCCCCCAAGACCTCACCGAACGGTCCGTCACCGCACGGTTTTGGGACCTCGGATGCCCCAGTCGCCCGAGACGTCCTAGGAGAACGACCTGAGTCCCAAAACCGTGCGGTGACCCCGAATCCCCACCGACTCACCACACGGTGTGGTCACCACCCAGTTTGGGGGCCCCCGATCTAGATCGGGGTCTTGCCAAGAGGTTGCGGATCTGGACCGGGACTGGACACAGAACATGCTTCAGATCTGACCACCGTGGCAACAAAGGCTCACATTCCTGAAGAGATTCGCGATCACATCCATTCAGGATCACTGCAATCTGGGGGCGCTGGAATTCTGATATTACCTCAATCCGGGGTGGCTGACAGGCGTGAGAGGGGAAACACCTGGGACCACACATATACATCTGAAGCTTGGTGACGTGCACGACCAGTGCGCAACAAGGAAAATAATTCGCATGACAACTGTCTAGACGTCTGCGCGTCTAGTAGTTGTCATGGAGCATGGGCCCCCTGCCAACTGCTAAACTCCCTGAGCACTGCTTCTTCCAATCTACCCGCGGAATCATCTCCGAAGTGGCCTCGAACTCTAAAAAGCACGTGCAGAAGCAGCGAGAAAGTAATGTGTGCTCCGAAAAAGAGATTGCCACGGGGCTCGCTCTCTCGCTTGTAAAACGTGCTCCAGAAGATCACTGGTATGGCAAGACGCTCGAATCCCAACCTGTGTGGACGTGCTTGGATTATCCAAGAAAGCGGCTGGGGTCCATTTTAACTTAATTGCCCTGCCAACAGTACCTGGCGTCGCACATCTTCTCGGCCTCCTCGACCGTGGTGTCGACTGTGACCTTATTGTTCGAACAATGTTTCTCGTAGAAGCAATAGCTTCCCATCAACTCAGCTTGATTAATCCGCTTGTGCTTCTGGAACAACTCCTGCGCCGAGGCTGTGATGTCGCGGTGCGACAAGCATTCCTTGACGGGTCGCTCGGACGAAAACACGCACGATCCTGTTGATCTTCTCGTCGTGTCAACGCCACACAATAATTAAGCAAAGGGTGGCATATGTGCAACTGGGACCACCAACTCATTTCAACAATTATATAAGCTCTGCTGCATTCCAGGGGATGACTCCAACACGCTTGCGCTGCTCCTCCTCACTTGTCTCCTGCTGCCCGCGAATTGTCAATTTGCCTCGCTGTGATGCTCTCCGCCCCGTAGAGCTGTTTCCTCTCCGCCCCTCGATTCCGCACAAGCTTGCTCCAGAAACGTCGGCCATCTCGGAAGAGCAGAGTTCGCAGGAGGAGAAAGTTGAGCAGCATGGGGGGGGGAGGAGAAGAAGGAAGGAGGGTGCGCAGGGGAAGGAACAGGAGAAAAGAATAGGTGGAGGGAGGAACGGGGAGGATGAGGATGAGCAGAATTTACAGGATGAGTAGGACGAGTAATGGGGGGACGAGGATGGCAAGATGCCTCGCGTGTCCTCCCTGCATTTGTCAACACCTGCCCGACTCCCAAATTCTGCGTACGACAAGAAGACCTCTCTTGGGGGTGACTACTTTCTCGTGCCTGTCTCCGTCATCATCCCGCCAAACGCCAGACGACCCGACCAGGCGTGACTGGCGGCCCCCTGTGTACTTGCCGACACGATCCGAAGCGACACGTGCTGCTGTTGGACCCGATTCGGCGCGTCGGGGGCAATACATTAGTCAACAGGCGGGCCCCTAGGCCACCCAACTTTACGCATCGCGCCGCGCAGTGCGCAAGGGTCTTCGCGCACTCGTGCCGCCACCCTCTCTGGACAACTGTGCCTCTTTCCAATCCAGGCCGCGACGCGAGATGCGCGATGATCTTCGCGCTCTTGCGGACGTTAGGGCCCAGTAAACGGGATTCAACGATGACGTTGGCGCGTCCCAGAAAGCTGCTTCAGCCGCTGGTCGAAACCGACTCTACAACCATCGTGCTATCGGAAAGGAGGCAAAACCCGCCACCGTGCCCATGGCACGATGCGATGTGTCCCACAGCTCATAGCTGTGCTGCTGCTGCGGCTGGGACTGTAATTCCTTAGTGGCTGGTGGCCTGGAACTCCAGAATTCTGGGCCGTCCCAAGGTCTTCCAGGGTTTCTCCCGTAAGTCCTGGAGTGTTTACTGCTGGTCCTCTGATCGCTGTGCTGTGCCCGCCCACAACGACCTCCCGAACCGTTCGATGTGCCTTCAAGAGATCCAATTCGCCGAAAGATCGCTCCAAGACGCGCACGAAGGCCTCCGAACGGCCCAGGCAATCGACACGGACATAGACATCGCATGTAGGGAAATGGGAGTGCAAAGAGGAATGGGATTACGATGCTGGTGGCGCTGGGGGGAGAAACGCCTTTTCTCCCTGCGCACCGCCGCAAATCGTGCACCGCGGACAAAGCAGACGAAAAAGGCAATGCCGCATTGAACCAAGGCGGCGGCGGACAAGCAAACATATAAATACACGCTCCCCCTCGGAACGTTCCCCAAAGTCGAGGGGGGGCGGGGGGCGGGCAAACCTGGCCGCCACCGCCTTCAATCCTGAAGACAACCGTGAACCGAAACTGCGAATCGCATCCGCGGCTTCGCGACTGCGAGGTGTGCAGCGTGGGCGCGGGCCCGCGCCGGCAGCGAGCGGGCGCGAGTCAGCGACAGCTCGGCATTGGGCCCCCCTTCTCTTTGCGCGCAGTGAGGCTGCAGGCGCAAAGTCCACTTGACCTCGAGGGCCACTGGGGACGCGCATGCAAACGCAACGGCTCACGCAGCGGGATGGACGGTTGCCCCGGTCTCGGGCGCAGGTCCTGGCCTCATGTTTGTGACTGGGTGGCGGCCGTTGCTTGCGGAGGTCGGTCGCAGTCAATGATGCCTTTGGTATGTCACCGGTCAGCGGTCCCATAGCGGGTGCCACCCATCTGGACATTGTGAATGATGCCGGGGTGTTCAATTCTTGGATCCACATGATATGTCCCAATCGAGTCTTCTCCATAGGTGCCCGTAGTTCCGTGCTGGCGAAGCGTTTGTCGACTGACTGGGCGTCAATTCTAAGAGGTGCCTTGGAACGGAGCCCACCGAGTTCTCGAAGTCTCTTGAGTTCCGACGGCGCCAACAGCTTGTGTAAATTCACAAACGTTGAGCGCCGCTCGTCGTGGTGATGGGCAACGGCCAAAGCCTCCGCGGCGTGGCTTGACCGGACATGGAGGCGATGAGATCTACGAAGGCCCCCCGCGCAATGTGCAATTTCTGTTCAGATTGCCCGTGCTCTCCCGACGCAACGTATTGTAGCCTCGTCGGCCGTGCCCTTCTGTCTCGCCCTCCTCCCCGGTGAGTTATCGGTGACATGGGTCGCGGCGCAGATCCACCTCTCCATCGGGGGTCATCGACCGATGCATCGATCGCATGTTCGGGTGTCCGTTGCATGCTGCGGGTCCGCGTCCAAGCGTCTCGCCTGTGCGTCGGTCGGTTCTTGGATGCGCCGCAGCGGAGTGACATGCGCCGTGGTCCAGAACTGCGCGAGCACGAGTAAGCTGGGCCATCCCTAGGGCTGACACGCACGCCGCCAGCGACAACGTTGACGGCCTTGTCGTCGGGGGAAGCTCATCCCCAGCCGGGGCGAGCGATGGCGCGCGGCTGTTGCGTGTTTTCGCCCTGGTCCATGATCGGGCAGTTCGCGGGGGTGTGTTTGTTCAACTTGCACTTGCCAAAAGCCTGTTCCACCTGCTTGATGTAGTTGTCCACGCTGGACTCCTTGCCGCGCGAGTTGATGTCGCCAGCGTGTTTGGCCGTCAGTCTGTTATCGGCAGCGCCGAACCAATTGTCGCGGGACACGGGCCTGGAAATCATGTTTGTGTCTCCTCGACGTTAAGGAGAAAACTCGCGGTGCGTCCTTTGTTCAAATTCCTGGTTTGCGGCATGTCAGACAACGCCGTGATTCGCCGTGGTTCTCGAAACCTGGGCGCTGTCTCAGCGCGGCGGCGCTTCCCGGAATAAGCGCGCGTCGCGCCCTCGCTCCCTGGCGGCGTCCGCCAGCTCTGCGCACGTGAGGCCTTGCAGTGAAGCCTCGTCAACGTCGAGACTGGCGACGCTCCGACCCTGGTTGCAAGCGGCTTCCCTGGCTAGTAGTCGCCAGGGCGGTCGCCGAACTGTTCCAGAGCATGTTGACGCGCCGCTTGCATCTTGGCCCATGATGCCGCGCGTTGCCATGTGAAGACGGGCGATTTTATGCATGTTCCCCGATTCTGTCTGGGCGCATTTCAATGTGTTGGCGCGCCTGGAATTCGCGACGTTCTGGGCTCTTGATTTCCATTCATGAGTAGCGCATCGATTGTCCTGCCAGATCGTCAGCCCAGCCAGGAGGACAGTGGGCGCCTTTTTGTTTGTCCTGCTTCGCAAGTAGATCGCCCCTCTTGATCGCCGCGGCCCATTCGGCCTCGCCCGACGCAGCTGCTGTCAGCGTCGCAATATCGTTGGGCTGAAGATTGCGAAGTGGTCTTCTTCTAGTATCACCTGGGCCCTTCGGCGAGGCGGAATTCGACGTGCTTGCCGTGTCCATTGGATTCCAAGTCGTACTTATCACCGCCACCCCCCATTTTTGCAACAGTTGCCGGTTGGGTTTCCCCGGGGCCAGAGCGGTCATGAGGTAATGCATCATCGCCATGTTCATGCCTAGTTAGGTCCTACGGGTCATCCACGAACATCTGGGGCCCATGTATGTAGGGCACCAGCACACTACTCGTAAGCAGCATAGGCATAATATCGAAGTGCAATTCTTGTACTTGGTCTTCTAGAGTCGTGGTCTATGTGCTCGGTGCCCCCATTGTGCTAGTCGGTTATGACAATCGTGCCCGCGTTCTGTTCGTCTCCGTTCTCCTGGGTCGTAGACGGCCGTCCGTCTTCAATTTCTGCGGCCGTCGGGGTCTCGGCGCGGTTCGCGTTTCAGCGAGCGGCGCGCCCTGGGGAACATCTGCGAAGTCAGAGGATCTGGGGAGGTCCTCGTGGAACGAATGCGCGGGGCGAGGCGCGAACATACTCTGATGCGAGCGTGATTGCTCCTGATGGTGTCTCGAATGTTCAACGCTGTACCTGCGGACTCATTGCAGTGAAAGCCCGGCTGCGCATCCTTGTCATAGTGAACAAGCGCGCTTTTGTCAGACATCCTGTGAACGTAGGCATGACGCCCGCGCTCTTGGCAAGCCGCGCGGCAATCGCGCTCTCGATTCTGAAGTGAGCTATGGCGACGAACAGTGGCGCCATGTGGTCTCTGGGTGTCAGCTTACTCCAAGGGGGCGACCCTGTCGCATCTCTGTGACCCGGAAGGCGCCCCGATATGACTGAGGCCTTTCACCGCGGTAATGCTGCAAACAATAGGATAATGGTCGTCGTGGCCACGGTGTCAAACGCTTCGACCATGGGCGCCGCTGACCTGGGTGGCGGTGCATGGGCCTCTCCAGTCCCCGTGGTAGTCGTTTGCGGTCGTTGGCCTGTGTTCGTCGATCAAGCCCATTCGACGCGCTCAACCACCATGCGCCTAAGCCTTCGTCTTGAGCGCCCTGTTGGTTTGGTGGCTCAAGCTGTAGCCTGTGCAGTGGCCTCCGAGGCGATCTCGCGGATCGGGCGCTCCTGGTTTTGTCCTTTACTTTGCGTTTCTTCTAGGTCTGGTCCATCGAGATCTGGGAGCGTGGCGCGTCGGCAGCCAGCGCGCGCGTTTTGCGGTGAGACGCCGTCGTAGAATCTAAATGCGCTACAACCGTATATGGCGTCACCCAATAATCTCGGATACCATATAGATATGCCTTCTCCCCTGAGGTATCCTGCCATGGTGAGAACGTGGCTTATGCCTTCAGTAGCATTGGCGCCTTTGCCAGGCGCCAGTCCGCGGAATTTGGTTCCTGCTGCTCTGAATTTTTTCCCTCCGATGATGCCCTGCTTTTTTTTATGTCCGGGCAATGTCCTGCTGGAAGGGCAGT